AAATTGGTTTAATTAGGATGTAAACAAAAATCGTGCGACAGTATGCTCGCTCTGCAATGTTATTATTTTGCGCCAATAATTACAAAGAAACTTAATATTTTGATTTAGATAATACTTTGCAATAATTATATTAAAAAAAAAAACAAAAAAAAATATATATATATATATATAGAAATTTAGAACGTTATTCCAAATGGTACTCCTTGTTGATTTTTACAATAAAAAATTTTATTCCGAATGTTTCGGAAAAAAACCTGCTTAAATGATTAGACCATAGGCAAACTAAAGTTCTAAATTTTTTAAATATTTTTTCATCCGAAGTCATCATCGAACAGTTTAATATTTTATGAAAACAGACTTTGTTTTTGCCATAACATATGTACGAGTATTCGAGAGTTTCAATAGAAATTGAGATATAAAAAATAATTAAAAGAAAAACAAGAGTTAATTACTACCCAAAGGGCAGCCGGTTCCGAAAATAGAATATTTACATGACAAGTAAATAGAATCGGCTGCTAGTGGTTGTACATACAGGCATATACAGCATATGCATATATATATATATATTTATTTATAGCAACAAATTTGTGTAATACATACATATGTACGTATGTACTTATGTACATAAATAAATGTCAGCTCAAGCAGCTTTTGACAAGTGAGTGATAAACCGGCAAATATGCAGATAAAAAATAAACAAAAACAACAATTCATAAACAGAACTCACCAAATACGATTATTTACATATTTGTATTTGTTTTTATTTTTAAAATAAATATCTACGTACATATGTATGTATGTATGTGCATACCCACTGTGCCCACTCACCCATAAAAGCAAAAATTACTTGCGAATAAATTTATTTATGTACCTACAATGTACGTATGTGCATATATGTACATATGTATATCTAGAAAACCCTCCTCCTGCTGCCTGCTGCCTGCTGCCACTGACCCACCACAGAGTCAGATAGGCAAATGAAAGTCATAACAAAAATTGCGCAGCAGAAAATTAAATTTATAAACGTGCTCCAAACCAGAATATAATACAATAACAAAATACCACAATACAGTGTGGAGACAACATGAGAAAAGTATATATACATACATATGTATTTTATAAAAACGAAACAAAACAAGGCGAACCAGACTCGTATCTCCTCTGACGAGTTTTGGAACAAATGGAGGCCGCCAAACGAATGAGGCAAACCAACCAACGAAGGAATGGTCTGACTATAAAGAACGAACCAGTCAACAATAAAAAGCCAACGCATAGCCGGCAAAATACTTTACATATATGTATGTATACGTATATACTTAAATATGTAGGCAGAAAATGTATACAATGATTATGCAATGACCAAAAGATAATAACACAAACGACGCCAGAGAACAAATAAGTAAAAGAAAATATATATATTATACACTTTATATACATATGTATGTATGTATGTGTCTACATACCATAACAGCAAAAGAAAAACATTTTTTAAACAAAAACAAATTTTTACGAGTAAATGATGCAACAAAATAAAATATATAAAATTGTTTCAGTAACAACAAAAGTATTTTTTTTTGTAAATCTCTCAAATATTTTATACAAAAACTAAAAAAAATTAAAATTATATAATATAAAGACAAGTTCTGTTTAAAAATATTTATGTTTGTATATATATCACACAACACAACAAATTATCCCATTTAAAGATCTTACGTAAGTCAGCAGTAATTGTGTTAAAGCGTAATTTAAAGAGAAAAAAAAAGCAACAAACATACAATCATATTTGGAAGCAAACGATCGAAAGCAAAAAGCCGGCCGGCCGGCAAATGGCAGATGCAAGCGTTTACGTGTATGTATGTATATGCTTGCATGTATTTATTTATTTATTTACATTCATTGCATTTTGCTGTTTGATTTTTTTATACACTACACTGTATTTCTATAAATGTTGATGTACATACAAATGTATGTATGTATGTAAATATATAATGATGAATATCAACAGAAACCGGCTCGAACGTCAATAAACAAAAGCGCTAATTTACTTTAGTGCACTCTTAGAAAAAGTAGATAAGACAACAATTAAAATTGAAGAAATAAAATTAAAAAAATAAAATTAAATTCAAAAATATATACTGAAATTATAATAGTAAAAAAACGAAGTAAAAACGCAATAAAAATAAAAAATGATTAAGAAAAATAATATAAGAAAATTCTATACAATATTTTAATAAAAAATTAAAAAAAAAATAAATAAATAAAAGAATAAAAAATTAAAAATAAAAAAAAAAATAAATAAAAATAAAAAAATTAATAAAAATAAAAAAATAAATAAAAGTATAAAAAAATTAATAAAAGTATAAAAAATAAAAATAAAATAATTAAACGTATAAAAAATAAAAATTAAAAAGTAAGAAAAATAAACCTGTAAAGTTACAAAAACAAAATTGAAATACAAAAATGAGCTTACATAAAAAATTAAACTACGAAATTATAAAATTAAAAAAAAAAAACTATACAATATTTTTATTAAAACAAATCCGAAAAAAAAAAAATAAATAAAGGTAAAAAAATACAAATAAAACAAAAAAATAAAAAAATTAAAGGAAAAAAGTTGGCAAAAATAAACTAGTAAAGTTACAAAAACCAAATTGAAATGCAAAAAAGAACTTACAAAAAAAAAAATAATTAAATTGCCAAATAATAAAATAAACAAAATTAAAGCAATTATACTTACAAAAATATTTTAATAAAAAGAAGGTACGAGCGTAATTAAAATAAAAAATATATATATATAAAATTATACAGAGTTTGAAATACTAAAAAATTTAATTACGAAAATAGTTAAATTGCAAATATAAACTATAAAACGTAAAAAGAATTATTTCAAAAAGCAGTAAAAATACAAAAAATGTAAATTACAAAAACATGATTTATATACAAAAAACTTTCAAATAATTCAAATGCTTAAAAAGAAATTTAAAAAATACAACAACAGAAAACAGTAAAATTATAAAAAAAACACGCACACACATACAACAAAATTAACACAAAAAAATTGCAAGAGAGAGATTGCAATTAAAGAAATAAAAATAGAAAAACAAAATAAAAACTTATGAAAAATAAATTACAAATAATAGCAAAATTACAAAAAAAGAAATTAAATTAAATAATAGTATAATCACAACAAAAAGGTAATAAATAAAATAGTAATAAATTTGAAATTTAAAAAAATAAAAATGGAAGCATTGCGATATTAAAAAATATAAAAAATAAAATAAAAAAAAACAGTGCAAAAATAGTAAATTTACATAAATAAATTTAAAAATTGATAATATAAAAAATGGAATATTTTGCAAAAATTAAAAATTTAATAAAAGAAAATACAAACAAATAGCAGGCTTAGAAATATAAATTAAAAAAAAAAACATAATATAAGAAATAAAATATTTTGCAAAAATTAAAAATTTAATAAAAAATAAATACAAAAAAATATTTTAAAAAAATAGGAAGAGAAAATTAAAAAAAAAACTATTATATAATAAGTGAAAAAAATTAAAAATTTAACAAAAAAAAAGTATTACTAAAAAAAAAAAAATAATAAAACAATAGTATTTATTAAAACTTATTACAAAATAATAAAATCAAATTGCACAAAATTGTAACTAACAGGTCCGCGCTCGCTAAAAAATGTCTCATTAATATGGATAAGTATTTTATGTACATAGTACATATCACATGTACATATTATGTATTACAGAAAAATTCATAAATTAGTTTTTTATACCATTGCTTAAATTATTTGATTTATAGTGCGGCGATAAATAAAGGTATTAATTTTATACCTAAAAAAAGTTTGCACTTTCAACTACTTTACATGAACAATCGTAAATAATTTAATTGCGCTTTGAATAACAGTATTCGTGTTGAGATTACTACTTTTAAGGAGCTGTAAAATAAACTATTTATTTTAAAAATTTCAGTGTTTTGCCATAAAAATGGAATCTAGAAAATATTAAGACAAAGAAGACTAAAAAAATATATTCATTTTTATTAAAAAAAAAAATAAAAATAAAATATTAAGCTGCTAATTTGTTTACTTGTAAATAAAAAATACATTTACTCTTTATTATATTTAATATTATTTATGGTGCACTTAAATGAGAACAAAATAAATAATAAATGTCTAGACTCAACCCCAATGCCATAAAATTTACTTAATAATGGTAGTCAAATTATTATTTTTTATCGAGCGCACTATCTTCCTACTGAATTGGAGGAAAAATTAACATTCGAATGCTGAATAGTGACTGCAATACACTATATTCAAAATAATCACATAAATGATTGTTATAATAAGAGATAATGGCAAATTGAAATTTATGTGCACAGATCAAAATAAAAAAAAAAAATAATAAAAAATAAATAAAAAAGCTTAATAGGTAAATTTAGTATACTCCTATACGTATGACATAATACAACTAGCTTGTAAATTGTCTGTACAAAAATAGCAGCTGTATTTGCAATACCCGCACTTGGATCGCTTGCTTATTTGAAGTGGGTCAATATATGTACATACATACGTACTTATGTACACGAACGCACATTTTCTATATGTAAACACACTGCAATAAATTGTTGTGTTTAAATAACACTTACAACGAGTAGGCTGGCTTTTCATAAAGCACTTGGTAGTAAAATAATAATGCGGCCTAAATAGTTATCAGCTCTAGAGCAAAATAACATATGCAAAAGTGCACACATTATCAGTGAGTAAACATGTATAATCATATACAGAGTCAATAAACTAAATCTAAATATAGACTAAAATATTAGTAAAATGTGCCTAAGTTAATACTTATTTATGAGCGAGTGAGGTTCTCGATAAGAAAATCCATACAATAAGTAAAGCTTACAACGACTAATTTACATTTAAATAATAATTAATGTAAAAATAAATAAATTCAACGTACTTAATTTGTTGTAATTTGTGAACTTACCTAGAGGGCATATTACTTAAAATCTTGTCAGTTATAAAACCAGCACGATTACAACGCTCTACGAAGCGATCTAATATAATGTATGCAAGTGGCACATCCAAAACAATATCCGCCATATCGTCGAAAACGCGCAGGAAACCCTGTGATAGTTGAGAAAAAAAATTAAAAAATATAATTTAGAAGCTGATTAGATAATTTTTTTAAATGTAAAATAGATATTTTGATTTGATTCTTTCTCAATTATTAAAAATTGAATGAAAAAATGCAGCAGTAACGAATATTCAGTTGATCAACTTTATAAAATACTGTAACATCATTTTAACAACATTTTTTATATATTACAATTTATTTTCTAACAAAGAAATTTAAAAGAAAAATCCCCATATATATAAAGCAAAAATCAAAAATTTTCATTTAATATTGTTATTTAAAAAAATTATTGTCAGTAAAAAATCATATTTGCTCATATATATTAAATTAAATACTTATACAGTTTGTTTTTTAATTAACAAAAAAAAATATATATATATACCATTTTTTATTTTTCATTATTTTTTATTATTGCTTTTTATTTCAATTATTATTTTTTATTTATATTATAACAATTTTTTATTATTATATTACTATTTTATTTTTAATAATTTTTATTTTATTTTTATTATTATTATTTTTTTTATTGTTATTATTTTATTTTTATCACCATTATTTTATTTTCATTTTAATTAGTATTATTTATTGCTATTTTAATTATTATTATTTTATTATTTTTATTATTATCTTATTTTAATTATTATTTTCATTTTTTATTTTTATTATATTATTATTTTACTTCTATATTTATTATATTATTATTTTACTTCTATATTTATTTTATTATTATTTTATTTCTATTTTTATTATTATTATTTTATTATTTTTATTATATTATTATTTTACTTCTATATTTATTATATTATTATTTTATTTCTATTTTTATTATTATTATTTTATTAATTTTATTATTATTATTTTATTTTAATTATTATTTTTATTTTTTATTTTTATTATATTATTATTTTATTTCTATTTTTATTATATTATTATTTTATTTCTATTTTTATTATATTATTATTTTATTTCTATTTTTATTATTATTATTTTATTTCTATTTTTATTATTATTTTTTTTTATTATATCTTTTTATTATTTTTTTTTATTATTTTTTTTTATTATTTTTATTTTTATTATTTTTATTTTTATTATTTTTATTTTTATTATTTTTATTATTTTTATTTTTATTATTTTTATTATTTTTATTTTTATTATTTTTACTTTATTTATATTATTTTTATTACTTTTTTTCTCATTTTTATTTTAATTATTATTTATTGCTATTTTAATCATTATTAATTTATTTCTATTTTTATTATTATTGTTATTTATATTTTAATTACTATTATTATTTTTTTCTTGTTATTAATTTTTAATTATATTTTGTATTATTATTAACATTTTTATTACTTTTGATTTATTATTATTTTTTATTTATATGATTATTATTATTTTTTATTTATATGATTATTATTATTTTTTATTTATATGATTATTATTATTTTTATTCATATTATTATTATTACAATTTGTTTATTTTTTAATCTCGAAACTTCTATAACCACTCATTCACAACTTATTTTTTTCACTCACCTGCTCCATACCGGCGGGCAATACCAAACATGCCTCATCCAATGACTTGAGTAGCTCACACATGGCCTCCTCAGTGGTTTGGCTAAGGGATTCGAGTGTCATGACAATGGCTTCATAAACCAATTCATGATGGAAATGTGGTACTTCGAGTGCGCGTAGACAACGATGTGCCTCCTGTATGTCGCGTGATGACAAATACTCCTTAAGTAGCAAAGTCATCTCCTTGGTGATGGTCTTGACTGGTCGCAACGGACCGCCCATTCCCCAAACATTGTCCAAATGTGCCCAGCCCTGCTTCATGTGTAGCAGGGTGTCAGCACGACGTATAGCTGCAATAGCAAGCTGATTTTGCGCATCGAGATCAGTCGGTTTGGTGACAAATTTAGGTGGGAGGCAGTCATCGGCGACAGCACGTGCAAGGAAATTACCTGCGGTTATGAGATATTGCAAATGATAGATGTATGTTATAAACTTACAGCGCAAGGCAGGCCAAACAAGCACAAGATATAAATTTCGTGTTGGGCAGTAAATATACCAGAAAACGAAAACCCTACTCACCTAATATGGTAGGCGCGTCCGGAGTGTCCAATGTCAAGTCGGGCAAATTATCGAGTAAAATTTCAAAACCTCTCTCAATATCCTTGGCGGTTATGACACGTCCATACAAATCGGATATCAACACCGATGTCATTTCACGCTGCGAGTCCTTATGATCCATTGAGATCTCAACCACAACACTGGTTACATGTGGTCGCAGCGGACCGGTAAGTATCTCGTCAAAGCTCACAGCCACCTCATGGGTATCGCCATGCTCATAATACTCTAATACAATTGGTTCAGCCAATTTGAAGAATTCTTCCGGTGTCACCTCCGGAATAACTTCACGCAATTCGATGTTCTTATCATTACACTCACTATCGTAGTTCGGATCGTTCTCATCTTCGTAAACCTCTTCAAGCGCCTCCGAACCGGGCAAACCCCAAACACCTTTACCACCGGCACCGCCCTTCTTTGGCAAGCCACGACCATGACCATTACGCGATCGACGACTGTTCTTCCACCGACGATGTGGCACCACATAACTACCAGCACTACCGGCGCTGATGGCAGCTGCAAGTGCTGCGCTCGCAGCGCCATTTGTCTCACCACGACTGTTTTGTCTATGTATTAGGCGTTTCGCACGACGTTTGATGCGATCGTGGCCATCACCAACGGGTAGAGGTTTCTTCATCAACCCATTAAGGTCTTTCGGCGAATCCGATGAGCTATTTAGCTCCACAGCCTGTACCTCTTCGTTGAGCTCACGCTCTACGGAACTTTCACGTGAGTCCGCATTACCATTATGATGAGTGGTTTCGGTATCCATGTTGTTTAGCTTTTAATAATAATCTTTTTCTTAAGATCGCCTGAGTTTGTAGGTTCTTGGTTTGTTTCTTTATGTAGTGCTATAGTATTATTAACGTATATTGTTGTTGGTGATGATATTCGTTATGCTATTAGGTATTTGCTTAATATTCGTCACACAATTTCGAACAAAAACAACGTTCACTCACTCTCAATAATGAATGTATGTACAATATTTAAAAAAAAACACTCTTACGTTTGGACTTGTACTTTTATAGCAGGTGCATGGATAACCGTTAGTTAGACACTTTCCAATATGCGCTTAAAGGTGGAGTTTGTAAATGTTGCAATGGTGTTCGTAACCTCACAACCTCCAAAACCTTTAGGGCCTCTCAATGTTGTATTAGGAAACCAGCGCTGTAGCTGAAAAAGAGGAAAATAAAGAAAAATTGTTTCCATGAAAAATAAATTGTTGAGAAAGTAAAAAATTTAATAATTAGTTCGAGACAAATTGAATTCTACTCGGACTCAAATCTGTTTCTTATCTCGCAAATTATTACTCTAACCCCAAAGCTCCTTCTAATCAGTTCTTCTGGTGTGTTGCTTCTCCAGAATATTTATATGTATGTGTGTATGTATATTTCATTCACATTACGACCTTAAACCACAGAGTACTAAGTCAAGTTTCAGAAAACTATCTAGTAAACAAATCCAACACGCCGCTAAAGGCCAACCTTTACAGTTGTAAAGAGCCGCGCGTTCAATGCACCAAGTAAATAAATCGTGAAACCAGCCAACCAATCCAAGCTATCAGTTGTTTTCTACCGTCATTTGATATTCTAAACGCGCCAAGAAGACAATAGTGTAGGCAAGGCAATCTTGACTCAACTTGACTTGGATTGGACTGCAACCTAACCGAGAAACATGCAAAATATGTAAACGCTTAGCTGAACATCGTCCATAACGCAAGAAGCAACTGGCAATAGTTGCAGGCAGCAACTATCCATCACAATTTGTATGCATGTATGTATGTACATATGTATGTATGTATGAAGCAAGACTTTTGTGTACGCCGACTGCTCGGCTGCCAATTGCAAAAATATGCACTCAATGCGCCGACATGCAATGCGCTTAGCGAGTAGTGGCAACGCACTAGTTGAAGGTTTATTTTTATCTACAATATACACATAGTACGTGCACTCCAACATACATATTTTCTATTTACACATGAAGTTTTTTTTTTATTTTTTTTTTATTTTAAACGTTTATTATGTATGCATTTATGCGTTCATTTTCGAGTTTAAGGCCTTAGAAGTGCGCCGTTGGTTTTATTATTTTATATTATTCTTTGCTCAGCCATTATATTCTTTAGCCATCAAATCCGTCTATGCATTTGGCAGCTCATAAAACAAATGTTTATTTGTTTTGCCTGTCATGGGCAAACAGCAAATCGCAATGCGATGCCAATATATGTCGATATATACATATGTATGTAAGTTAAAAAATATTAAAAATTAATAACAAATAAAATGTTAAATAATAAAAATCGATTCATATATGTTGTCCATAAGAGTAACACTGTTAGTCAAAAGCCAGCTAAAGTTTTTTAATTTATTTGTCTTTTTCAAAATTGAACTCTATTGCCACACTCTTATTGCATTACATTAATATTATTATATACCGGCTCCAATGTAACCAATGATTTAGTTCTAAAACCAGCAATTATTCAAACTCATCCTAAATGTAGGCAACATTTCATAAATTCATAATTCGTTTAAAGTCATCCTAGATGTTTTTCTTCATCCTAAACACAGGCAACGCTTTATTTGATTTTTCTCAATTCAATAAAACCAATTATAATTCATTATTGTTGTAAGAAGATTTTTATTTCAAAAACTTACAGCCTAGATGTAGGCAACGATTTCAATACATGTAGACAACGATCAAAAGCAATAATTTTGTTCAATTTTTATTATAAAAGATATAGCTTTCTTTTATAATAAAAATTGAACAAAAAGAACAATTATTTTGCAAACTATGAGCTAGAGGATCTTTCCTGTCTGCGATAAAAAAATATTAGAACAAGTAAAAGGGCATCCATTAATTTTGCTACGGATGGCTTTAGTAATTTCGATTACGCCAGATGGCGTTAGAAATATGATATATTAAAAAAAAAGTAATGGGAAAAGTGTTGATCACTTAACTCAGTAGCGTTCATGCGCCTGTCAAAGATGGACACCGGCAATGCCGAAAATACGCTGGTCAGGCCCCTGAAAATGTGGACAATAGCTATTGAAGTGTAACAAAATCCACCGAGTTCTAAACCGATGGTGGCTGGTAAAGAAAAAAGGATCACTTACAGCAACATAAAACGAGGGGCCGGAAAAATTGACTCCTAGCCAGGATTGACAGCCAGAAATATTTTGTTATGTTTTTGATGGGATCGACAAAGAGTTAACCACAATGAGCTGCTCCCCTACAGTCAAACTCCTAATTTGGACCTATAATGTCAGCAATTGGACCGGCTGAAGGGCAAAATCGCCCAGAAGCGACCAGCTTTGGCCAACAGGAAAGGAATTGTGTCCCATCAGAACAATGCCACACCACATACATCAGTAGTGGCTCACCAGAGACACCGAAATATTGGTTGGGAGGTTCTTATGCAACCATCTTGTAGTCCGTATCTAACACTAAGTAATTACAATCTGTTGATGTTTATGGCGAATGATTTGGTTGGTGAAGAATTGGTTTCAAGAGAAGCCCATTAAAACCGATAGTCTCAAGTATTTGCCAATAGAGATAAGGGTTTCTATGAGAAGGGCATAATGACATTGATTTCAAAATGACAAAAAAATTTTCGAGCAAAACGATGCATTTGACATAAATCGGTTAATTCTAATTGTGGTAAATAAGAATTTAAATTTAATGCAAATATGATGGATTACTTTTTACTAGATGTAATATAAACTTTATCAATTCGTTCACTATAATAATTTTGAAACAAATTTGTACATATGTACATGTGTATTTTTGGGTACCCTCCAGCTATCAAGAATGACGTTTATTAATTTGTTTACACGAATTTTTATAGTCAGAAATAGAAATGCAGCGCAATTTATTTAATCAAACGAAAATTATTTGACAAAAAAAATTTAAAAAATAAAAAAAACCAAAAAATAAATAATTAATTAAGTCAAAGTGCTAGAAATATGTATTATTTATTATTTTGAGATAAAGGTGGACTACTATTGTTTTAAATGACTTCTTTAGTGCCTGCAGATCTTTGTCAGAAAATCACAGTCTCTGAAGAGAGTTTCGCATTCCACTTTTTATTAATTATTTCAAGTTTTCCAATGAATTTTCCAATTGGAGAAGTTATTTTGCAATTGAAAGAAACTTTTCCCTTAAAGGATGGATACTTTCGTTGCTTGTGTGGCACGTAGCGCCGTCTTGTTGAAAGTAAAATATTTCCAGATCAATTATCATTCGATTCCGGGCATAAAAATTTCTAATAATCTTTCGAAAAAGTTACACGTTGAGGTTGGAGCGCATTTTCAACATTAAGTCAAGAGGTTTCCGTGCTTCAGAGGCGAGAGTTTTGCTATTAGACTTAGTCATCGAGATGGAAATGGGCCTTGTAAGTTCTGGTGATTTTTTGATGAAATTTTTTTTAGTGATTTTTTGATAATTAAAATGCGTAGGGGATATTTTTATTAATTATATTATTTAATAAATATGCACAGCAAAAGTTTTCTTTTATAATAAAAAAAAATTTTAATTTCATTTTGACCTATTAAAATAATTAACCAATTAAATACCAATTCCAAGAAATTATAATCTCTTTGAATTTACCTCATGTATAATTATGGGGTGAACTGTTCCTTCCTGCTGATGAAAAAAAAATTTCTAATTATTTCAAACCGAATTTTGAATAAAGTTCTTTTTTTTCATATCCGTAGGAATCTACTTCAACATTTGTAATTTTCTATTTTAAATTTTTCAGTTTTTATGTTACCAAATTTTAAGTTTCAAATATTTTCATTTTCTGAATCATTATAAATTTTAAATTTTTCTGTTTTTATGTTACTGAATTTTAAGTTTCAAATATTTTCTATATTTTTTGAGTTATTATAAATTTTTACTTTCAAACAAACAAGAAATTTTTAGATATAATTTATTAAACTAAATATAAGTATATATGAATTTGTGTTTAAATATAAAAATATCTATAGATTCATTTATCTATAATTTCCCATAATTTTTTCCCCTGCAAGTGTGGAGAATACAAGTGTTCTAACACTGACCTACCCCAATAAAATCACTACAATTGCTTGAAAATTATTGAAAAAGCAACAAAAAAAATATTACCGTAAATTGAATGTAATCGCGTAATAGTTTTACATAAGTATGTAAATACATATGTACATATGTAACATTCACACGATAGACTAGCCTTTGTAACTAAACCAATCAAGCCGTCAACGTTGCGTACATACATATATAAAAACAAAAGTGAAAAGCTACAATTTTTATTGAAACAGATGCAGATGCAGAGAATTGACAATTTCAGATGATTAAAATACTGCGCAATTTGCTGTGAAATGTACGGATATATATATATATATCAGCATGCATACATACAAATATACTATATTTATGGGAGAGAAGTTACTGCTTTGGCTACAAAATTCAGGAAAGCCATTTAAATGCACTTTACATATTATCAATGTACATACATACATACATACAAACAGACAATATATTAGAACTACCGTTTGGAGAGAGCTTATTATAGCACCCCATCTAATTCTAATGAAAACGAAAGTAAAACTTTGATGCCACAGTATGTATTTATGCATATATTTATTTATATATGTACATATATAAACCGACATAGATGTACGTAATACATATGTATGTATGTATGTATATAAAGCAGGTGGTTTCTCTGGCTGTAAATTGTACTGACCGTGAATATTTTGTACTTTTTGTTTTTGTTTTGAAAAGCCCAACAAAAAGCAGCACTTACACGCCAAACTAAGACGCAAAACAATTTTTGCTTTATCGTAAGCAACGCACCAGCGAAAAGGTAACAAAAACAAACAAAATACAAAATACGAAAATTAAATAACATTGTAATGAAAGCACACGTATATACATACATACATACATACATACATACATACATACATACATACATACATACATATGTACATATGTAAGAGCAAGAGAATATCAACAACGAAATTTTCAAGGTTAAACCGGACGAAATAAACATAAAACCAGAGGGAAGAGTGATAAAATGTACGATGAGGCAAAGAACACAAAATAGAAACAGACGACATGCATAACATAAATACATAAATACATACATAGATGTACATGTACATATATACATGGCATAATTATGTACAGAGGAAAGT